CCTTTTTCTTCTGGCAACAGCATTCTCATTTTCTTTTAAGGAACCGATACCACACACACACACACACACACACACACACACACACACACACACACACATTTTATGCAGCATTTGGTACAAGTGAGATTGCAATCTCCAGCTCCTGGGGTGAGCATGTGACCAGTCTGGCCAATCAGAGTGGTACATCCACCCAGTCACAGCGAGATTTACTTCTTTAAGCTGAGGTTCACTTCTGTGTCTTTTGGCAAAGCTATTGGGAAAGAGAGGCTCCCTTTTCATTGGGATTGCTGCTGGGGAATGAAACCAACACAGAGAAAAGCAGAGTGCAGTGTGAAAAGACGGATTTCTGATGACATCAATGAGCCTTTGGGACTGTCCTTTGCCAGGTCTACCTTTGGACTTTCCGTTCAGTTATATGAACCAACAAACTCTTATTCTTTCATAAGCTGGTTACAACAGAAAGATTCCTGACTGATACAGACCAGAGTCCTGGTTTATAGGCAGGGCCAAGGGGCCTCAGCTGAAGTAAAGCAGGTTGCGGGGTGGGGTGACATAGGGGAAGGACAAGACATAATAACTCTACGAGGTACTGCTGTTATCTGTCTCTTTCATGGATGTTGGAGGCTGACGCATTGAAGGGTAAAGTTCCTTACCCAAGGGCATTCAGTGAGTAATTAAAAGGGTTCAGGTTCAATTTCAGGCTTAATAGAACTCTAAAACTCAACTTATTTTTATTGAACCACACTGATTCTCAGGGTAGCTCTATAACCAAGAATCAAGTCTATATAATGCCTCGTAGACATCGAAAAGAGTTTTATTGGTGTTGGCTGGGCAGGGCAGAGGATGACTCATAGTTTCCTTCTATTGTATTTGAGAGTCAAGTTCAGAATTCTTCACTATTTTCCTGATTAGCCATAATTGTGTTTATACAACATTACTACTTAAGTGCTACTCCCCAGGGCTCCTACACACGCTATCGCAGGTTCAGTCACCTTGGCAAGGAAAGGGGCTTCTGGAATTCCCATCTTATTTTCAGGATATGTAGATGGGTTCTTCCAGAAAACCCCAGGTCAGCGAAAGGCCTTCGCAGCAGCCCTGGTGGAACAAGTGGGGGCAGTGCCTGTGCCTGCCCCACACCTCTCTGGGAATTGCCTCTCAAGTGAGTATCCCAAGCACCAGGCCTTCAGCCCCTCCCTTGACGACTCTTGCCATCTGAGCCCAGCAGGTAGGCAAGTTCACAGGCCCCGTTTCCAAGCTCACAGTCTTACCAGGTCTGGACACAAATGTCAGCAAAGGGCTGTTGCTCTTAACATTTCCAGCTCTGTAATAAATCGTCTGTTGTAACACCCTGCTACTTGTCCCTGGACCTGACCTGGTGAGTGGACTCCATTTCAGTGCCCAACCTTTACCAAACCCAAGCTGACCAGCAGCCGGCCCGAGAAGCAGGATGCCCAGCACACCAATGGCTGCCTCCAAAATGGTCCCTGGACCCAGGACTACTGCCTTCCAGTTCCCCCAGCCAGTGGATCCCAAAGTGTAGGAAACACGGCGCTCATGTACCCAAGATGATTTTCAGAGGTAACCCCACAGCTCTAAATAACCCCAAATCACACAATGAAAAGGTGATTCTCCATCCTTCAGATCACCACAGAGGAGCTGTGTTTCAGGCAGGTTTGTCTTTTACAACTCTTGCTAATCTCTCTTTTTGACATTTTTTTGTTTGTTTGTTTCTTTGTATGTATTTTGTTTACGGCAGTTTCTAATTTACAGGAGTGATATTCAGTTCCTTTATAAGCTCAAATACATAAATTTTTAAACAAGTCGACTCATAAACAAATAATAAGTAAATAATGGCACAGCTCGTAGAGACCGTATGGCAACAATGACCAGGGTGGTAGACAAATCATTGCATCTGGCAACTGCTAATGACAGCACAGAGCTCCCCACCGGTGTCATCAGAGCCCCCTACCCCCAGAACAAATCCATAGGCAACTCTGTCGGGGTCGATATCAAGAGGGTGAGGTTCAGACAGTTTATACCACAGCAGCCAGATGGATGCCCCGCCCTCCTGCCTGACAAAGGTCTCCAACCACCTAAGCTTGGTGGGATCCTGAGGATTTCATGCTGAGAAAAAGTGGGGGCAGTTTGCTTCCTCACCCACCAGAAGAGCAAGTAGAGGCTGGGGGATCCTCCAGGCCCTCCAGGGACCCTTATTCAGTCAGAAGCACTACTCACTGGCACAGAGCAGGTGTGGACCCAGAGCCTATGGGCCAGTGTTATGCCCGGCGCCTTGTGGTTGTTGGAGAACATCTCACTGGTAGCTGTCACCGGGAGCCTGGCCGGAAGCTTTTTTTAAAAAATATTTATTTATTTGGTTGCACCTGGTCTTAGTTGTGGCTCGCCAGCTCCTTAGTTGTGGCATATGAACTCTTAGTTGCTGCATGCATGTGGGATCTAGTTCCCTGACCAGGACTCGAGCCCAAGCCCCCTGCATTGGGAGCGCGGAGTCTTACCCACTGCACCAACAGGGAAGTCCTGGCCAGAAGCTTTGGGTCAGCGTTTCTAAAAGTTTGGTCTTTGGACCTATAACATCAGAATCACATATTAAAAATATAGATTTCCCTGGAGACTCAGGAGCTCTCAAATGGGGCCAAAGCGTCTGAACTTTTTAATCAGATGATATTTACTGTCAGGAAAATTTGAGAAACACTGTAATGGGGAAAACACCACGGATAAAGATTCATTCCCTCTCCCTCTCCTATCTCTCTCTGTACACAAATCTTCCTCCACAGTGCCTGGAAAACATAGCTACTCAGTGAGATTTACACCTTCCCCCCACCTTTACTTGGAGCCAAAAACTATACAAACATCTCTCAATCAAAAAGTCTTTGCTCATGTAAAACTCCTGACAAAAACTCAAAATTTCATAAGCGATCAAATATCCTCCTTGCCCCCTCCCCTCAACTGTGAGCCTCACCTGTCAGCATCATATGATCAAAATGCAAAAGTCAAAGTGGGGCTAATGTGCCACCCCAGACAACCTCACCTTCCTAGAGCCCCAAAGGTGCATGGTCTTTACATGGCCTCAAACTCCCTGGACTCGGAAAACGCCAGGAGCCGTACAGTCACCTAACACGGTGCTCCCTCTGAGTGTCCCACTGAGTACCTGCAACCACAGAGGACTGTGAGCTTGTGTTCTGGAAGGTCTAGCACATCTCAGGTTGAGTTTCTCCAGAGCGTCCTGAGACAATGCTTTGACAGCTAGCTGTTTATATGTGAGGTGATACAGGAAGCACTGACAGGGAAAAAGGGAGACAGGAATAGAAGGAGCCAAACAGGGTGCCATACCAAGCAGGTTAATACCATAGGCAGCTGGGGCTCAAACCTGCGGGAGATTTCTGAGAATGAAGAGAACATGCCCCTGTTGTCCCACCTGAGGGGTGAGGAAGCGGGTGTTTATCCTCCAATTTCCATCTGTCATTGGTTGACAGCTGCTTCCATGGACATAGACTCCCTGGCACTTCCACCTGCCCCTCACAAAAGCTGAGCACGTGCCTGCGGGAGGCAAAGCCCTTGGGCAGTGTCACCCATGCTTGCAGGAAGAAGCCATTGAGGTCGCTCAAAAAATTAAAAATAGAACCTACCGTATGATCCAGCAGTCCCACTTCTGGGTGTATGTCCGAAGGAGATGAAATCACTATCTTGACGAGATACCTGCACTCCCATGTTCTTTGCAGCCTTATTCACAATAATCAACCCAAACGTCCGTCAACAGATGAGTAGATAAAGAAAGTGTGGTATACGCATACAATGGAATATTATTGTCTTTAAAAAGAAGGAAATCCTACCCTTTGTGACAACATGGATGGACCTGGGTGACATTATGCTGCATGAAATTAGTCACAGAAAGACAAGTGCTGCATGATTCCTCTTATGTGAGGCACTTAAAATAGTCAAGTGTGCAGAAGCAGTCGATGGAATGGTGATTCCCAGGGGATGGGGGGAAGGGGACATGAGAACCTGTTGCTCAATGGGTAAAAGTTACAGTTATACAAGATGAGGAAATTCCAGAGGTCTGCCATACGACAGAGTGCCTAGTCAACAGTAATACTGTGTACTTAAACATACGTTAAGCATGTTAGGTCTCATGTTACATGTTCCTACTACACATGTTAAAATAAACCTAAAAAACAAAGCGACACAGGAAATTTTTGGAGATGATGGATATGTTTATTACCTTAATCATGGTAATGGTAATACAAGTGTATACACATGTCCAAACTCACCAAATTGCATACATTAATTATGTGCAGTTTTTTATATACCAATTATATCTCAATAAAGCTGGGGGAAAAGTCATTGACATATACAGTAATGGTGAATGCCAAGCAGCTAATGTGCTGAAAAATGTTTAAAAACAGGCTCTCCTAAGCAGAAAAGTGCTGGACTATTGCATCTGCCAATGTCTATGGTGTAAATATTCCCACCGCAGCAATTTCAAGCTACCAAGTCTGACATCACTGAAAGCAGACTTAGGAAGATAGAAGCACAACTGGCTCCCAGTGTGTCTTGTATCAATGTGTTGATACAAGACAACTCCAGCACAGGCCTCGGGAGGGATATGAGCGGGGTACCGACAGCATCTCCTTTACGTATAGCCAGAGTGCTTTGCTACAGACATAGAATCTCATGATTTTATGTGACTTTTACACTCTCTTCTGTGATATGCCAATGCTTGAACCTCTTACCGTGAAACAAAATGGAAGTACTCTCCAAACCTTTTAATTATTTCATACTCTAGGAAGGTATGTCTTCTTTATTATTTTTACATCACCTCTTCCCCCACTACCCACCTTCATCAGTGAAAACCCACTTAAGAAGCCAGACTTCAACGATCCCTCCACTTGGTCAACCTAACACTAATGGATATCTCTTGTTTTGCCTGACCAGCATCATTTCCCCTTCTGATAACAGCCCTGTATTTTCCTTTAAGCAACCATCCCTTACCCCATCTTGAGTCCTCCTCAGGCCTTATTTCCTGGCTCTGGCATTTAGCACATGACACAGTCCTGGCCAAATAGAAAGTTCCATTCCCCTGGAGAAAGGACAAGGTTCCAGGGGGTCTAATGAGACTCTTTGCTTGGAATTATTGAACAAGAAAATCTCTTCCCTCTGCATTACTAGGCTAGTAGGATGGAAGCCTGGAACTGCTGGTGGCCATCCTCCACTACAAGGAAAGAGCCCACCTGAGAACGAATACAACACAAAAGAAAGCTGAGATAAGAGACAGAGAATAACTGAGTCCTGATAGCATCATTTTGGTCCTTGGATTCAGCTGTGCCTGAGACACTTCCAGACCTTCCCAGTTTTCTGGATACTTCCACACTTTTTCAATACATGAGCCCATAAAATTCTTTTTTAACTGAAATCTCTTTGATTTGGGTTTTCAGTCACTTGCAACCAAAAATTTTCTGGCTAATTCACAGATCTGAGATCAAATGAGTTGGTAAACACCCCTCCAAGCTTTTCTCCTTGGTCCTAGTTAGAGCTCAGTGTACAAGTAAGAATACAGTTCCCTGGGGCTGGGCGTCCATGAGGAGGAATCCCAAGCAGAACTGGTCCATGTAAGCCACCCATGGCACAAAGGGCGTCATTTCAGGATCCGGATGCTCATTTTCTGCTCGATGTTCATCTTCTCTAAGGACTGAGGGGAGACGGGTGGTAGTTGAGAGGCTTGAATTCCAAACCTCTATGCTTCCAGCCTCCTCTCCCATCCCCCAGGCCCCATGATTCCCTGGGGGACCCCCTCTCTTTCTGCCGTCCTCCTTCCAACTTCATTTCCCATGTCCACCTGTCCTAGGGACTCCTGGTCTCAACTTCCCAGGCCTGAGGGCATACTGACCTTGGCGAACTCCAGGAAGGACACAGCGCCATCCCCATCTTCGTCGGCTTCCTGCACTGTGCGGTCGGCAATGCTCTCCAGCTGCTCTTCTGTCACCTGTACCCCAACCATCAGCCGGAGTACCTGGGTGGTGGAGGAAGAGACAGAGACAGCCATAAGGAGGAGGCGCAGAGACTACTAACACCATCCCCCAAACCTTGTCCGCATCACCCCAAATGTTAGTGCCAATTTTGTAATCCATCCCTCATTCATTTTCCCCCAATTCCAGTCACTTCCCACCACAGCCCCCAATAATTCCCCCATTGCTTCTCCATCCAACCTCCCCATCTGTCATTCACTATCCCACTCTCACCTCAATAATGTGCCCAAGCTCATTACTCAAGCCCAACCTTAGAACCCAGTCTCCGCCTATCCTCCACCCCATCCCCCATCTCATCCTCCAACTAGTCCCAAATCCATCCCCCACCTCATCACATCTATCCCAGAGTGTCTCAGTCTCAGCACTATTGCCATTTGGGGCCAGATAACTCCTTTGGGTGGGGAGGGGTATTGTACCCCTGGTACACAGGGTACCACCCTGGGTATTGTAAAATGTTTAGCAGTGTTCCTGACCTCTACCCACTAGGTCCCAGGAGCACCACCCCGTCAACCAAAAAGGTCTCTACATATTGCCAGTGTCATTCAGGGGGCAAAATCACCCCCAGTTGAGAGCTACTGATCTATTTCCAACCTCATACCCAAATGTTCCCCAACCCATCTCCCAACTAACCCACACTCCAACCCCATCCATTCCTATTCCCCGCCCAACACGCCAGTCATCTGCATCTCCCACCCACCAACCATCGCTCCATCACCCACAGCCATTCCGTTCTACCACGCCCCCCTTCCCTTGGGTTCTTCCAACCTGCAGCATCTCATGCCTGGAGATCTTTCCATCTCGATCCAGGTCGTAGAGCTGGAACGCAACTGGGAAGAGAGTGGAGGGGGAAAAGGAAGGTGGGTCTTCCCTGCTTCTCTTCCCTCCAAAGTTCACCTTGGAGGAGTGGGGGGGTGCAGGGGGCACCAGTGGGCCCACACAGGGAATGGAAGGTGCCTGGGCCCTCTCAACGGGTGTGGTCAATCTGGGGTCTCACTCGGGTAGGGGACACAGACTCACAGCGAAGTTTGTTCATTCTGCTGTTGAGGGGCTCGGGTTCCTGGGGGTCCTGGTTTCCGTGGTCCTCAACATCTACAGGTCGAAAGTGAGCCAGGACTCTGACAAAGCCTGGGAAGTCCAGTTGCAGACTCCTGGGGGGTGGGGGGAGGCAGGCAATGGTGCAGGCGCGGTGGTCGCCGTGGCCCTGCCTCTGCCTCAGTCGCTAACCTCCCCCCACCAGCTCTCACCCCCACCTCCCCACCCGCGGCGAGGCTCACCCGTCAGGGAAGAAACTGTCTATAATGCGGTCTCCCAGGGGGTTCACGGCCAGCGCCCCGATCTCCTGCAGATCCACGCGGCTGGAAAGTCAAAGTTTCAGGGGGGTGGGGCAAAGACGGAACATGGTCAAGGAGGGGACGGGGTCAGAGAGGCAGAGGTGAGAGGTCAGAAGGCCAGCTCCGGCTCACCTGAGGTAGCCCTTCTCATTCCTGTCAAGCGCTCGGAACCGGTGGTAGAGGCGGAGCAGACTGGCCTGCGAGACTGCGGGGGCGGAGGCGGACGGTGACTCTCCGAGGACTCTGGGGACGCGGCCAAACCCCGGGGCGCGCTCCATGCCCAAGGAGGCCGCGGGGGTTGAGCGGGGGGCGGGGGGCTGGCTGGAGGGAGGCTCCACCCGGGGCCCGGGGCCGAGCGTGCGGGGTGCGACCCGGGAGGTCCGGGAGACCAAAAGAGACCAAAGCCACCCCTCCATACGCCTCCGGTCCTGCAGTCTGCCTCGACCCCGGCTGGAGGCTACCTGGGTGCCCGCAAGCCCGGAGCCGGGACCCCTGGGTGAACGCGCCCTCCGCCCGCGAGCCCGGCCGCTAGGATCTTCTAGGTTCGCCCGGCCCCGGGACCCTCCCCCGGAGCCCCCCGGCACCCTACCGGGTCCCCGGGCGCTATGCGCCGCACTCACAGCCGGTCTCCCGCTGGATGCTGTCCACGTCGGGGATCCTGGCGGCGTGGGAGCTGCGGGAGCCCATGGCCGAGCTGCGCCGGGGCCGGCGTCCTCCCCTCCCGCCTCGCGGGCGCGGCCGCCTAGTGGCCCCTGGGCCGAAGGCCACAGCCCTGGCGGGGAGCCAGGCTCCTGAACCCCGCCGTTCCTCGCCTCCCACCCGCGACCCGGGCGAATAGAAAACCGTGCCAGAGTGGCGGGGTCAGCGGGGCGGGAGCGAAGAACGCGCGGTTGCGTCCCGAGACTCTGAGGTCGGGCGGGGAGGGGAGGGGAGGGGCTGGGCTGGGCCGGGTCCCCCGGCCGCGAGTCCCCGTTCCCACTCTCGCCCCGGCACCGACCCGCCTCCTCCCGCCCGGCCCTGGGTCTTCCGGGTGCCGCCAAGCAAGGCTCTAGCGAGGTCCGCCCTTCTTCATCTGGAGACAGAATCCAAGCCCTTCTGGGAAGTGGGTGACGGGTGGGCAGGGGAGCTAGACGCGTTCGTCCCAATCCGGGATGGCCCCAGCCTGGGGTCCCCTCGGGCCTGGAGGCAGAGGCCTTGAAAGAGTCCCAAACGGGGCTGAAGCGAGGAGGGTTGGGAGGCGGAGAGCAAGGGCTGGTTTAAGTGGAAGGAGAGCCGGGTTTGAAAGACTTGGATTGGAATCCCAGCTATGCTTCTCACTCTGGACAAGTCAGCGTTATCTTGGTTTCATCTCTTTTGTTTGGTCCACATAGCCTTGTTGTTGTTTAATTGAGTCAATGCTTAAAAATCTGGATATTTAACCCCAAATCCCAAATTCCTGGCTTCTGAAAAATCAGATCTGACACCACTAGGCCCGCAGTCCTGCCTGGCGCCGCTTGGGGGCAGCTGGGAACAGCTGCCATGTGTAGAGGGGGCATCCTGAGGGGTCCTCTTGCTATAGTCCCCAGCCAGCCCGGCTGCACCCTTATGAACCCTATTGGGCTCTGGTAGAAGCTCCAGCTAAGGGACTGACAGCCCTCCGACCAGCCCTCAAGCACCAGGGGAATCCACATGCAGCCTGAGGGAGCGTTACAAACCTCACTGTCACCAACCTTTACATAATAATAATGACAACGACAGCAAGGGCTCTCATTTTTCTGAGCACTCACCATGGGCCCTGCACTTTGCTATGCCTTTTAAGTGCATTAACTCACATGCTTGCTACACTGCCATCTTCCCACTTTTCTGTGGTGGAGGCTTGCCATCGCTTGAAGTAGCTGTGAACTGTTATAAAGCATGTATCCTCCATGGGGGCCACATCACCCCCAAGGGGCAAAAATCTTCTTTTTATGTATGAAACACAGACACACATATAACACATAAATAGATATATATCTGTAGTATTAAAATTTCATGGGAGGGACTTCCCTGGTGGCGCAGTGGTTAAGAATACGCCTGCCAATGCAGGGGACACGGGTTCGAGCCCTGGTCCGGGAAGATCTCACATTCCATGGAGCAACTAAGCCTGTGCGCCACAACTACTGAGCCTGCGCTCTAGAGCCCGCGAGCCACAACTACTGAAGCCCGTGCGCCTAGAGCCTGTGCTCCCCAACAAGAGCAGCCACCGCAATGAGAAGCCCACGCACCGCCATGAAGAGGAGCCCCCGCTCGCCGCAACTACAGAAAGCCCGCGCCCAGCAACGAAGACCCAACGCAGCCAAAAAAAAAAAAAAAAAAAGATTTCATGGGAGGGGGGGTGGTTAAGGAAAAAAAAGTCTAACAATGCTCCTTAAGTGGGAGGTGATAATTTTTTAAAAGTTGAGAAACTCAGTTGTAAATGAACAAGCACCACAGGTGTCCAGCTTTGCATGTATAATTAACCTCTCTTCCCTCATCATAATCACATATATACACAAATTTCCCAAGGGGAAAAGAAGGCAAGCTGTTCATTACAAGGGTTCAAGTTCATACCCACCTTGAAGAGAGAGAAACTGGAGAAACAATCAAGCCTCTAGCCCCAGGCAGAGTCTCACATCAGATAAGCCTTGAAAATATTGATCTCAGAAGTGCCTGCTTCTCTTTTCAGGTACCCCAAGGATTAGGCAACAGTCATAAAGAATGCTTGATTCCCTTTCAGGTGCCCCACAAGGACTAAAGCATGCGGGAAACTACACTGCTCCCTAATGAAGCCAAGCAATCACTCTGGCGCCACCCTGGGAGTGTAGGATGGGTTAGGTTCTGAACCCAGGAGGGGGTAAGAGTCCCTGGGAGGCTGCAGTAATCATCTCAGGCCAGCTTGGGCTGCTGATCTTGGAAAGAGCTCCTCCAGCCTTAATCTCTGAGTCAGTGCGGCACTAAAGTAAATCAGGCCAGAGAGCAATTTACAACCCCAATCCACATGCCATCACAACCTTACAGGGAAACACTGTGCTAGAATTGATTCCTGCTTCATGCACACAAGTAGTGTTTAAATCAACTTCACAATTTACATGGCCACATCTTTTCAGGGCATTTAAAGGGGAAATGTTTTGGGGAGAATTTCATCTGAAGAATCTGTTGAATAGGATTCAGGCGAAACGTTTGTCATTTGCTTTTAAGCTGCATAAAAGTTGCTAGCCATTCTTGATGAAGCAATACTGAGGTTCAACTGGAAAAATGAAGATACAAGGATAGTTGGGAAAATATAGAACACTTACAACTCAATAACAAAAAGCTCAGTTGTTTTTACAATGTTCTCAATGAGTTTAATATTTTAATATATGTTAGAGCTCCTTTTCCCCATAAAATTGCAGGTTCCATAAGGGTGGAGGGCATATAAGAAATTATATAACAAGGCCATATACCTGGGAAGTCCAAATATCTGTGTCCTCATGCTGAGAGCTCAGGACAAGAAGGCTTGACCAAGCCCCCCTTTCTGCCCTCATACTGCAAGGGGAATTTGGTTAGTTTTTCAAATTAAGCTTTTAAATTTGTCAGCTTAACAGGGAACTTACAAGTTCCAAACTCATCTTTCTAGCAAGAGTCAAGTTACACCACACACAAGGTAGCCTGTTTCCTGAGTTATTTAATTAGAATCTACAGATATCCACAGGGAAAGCATATTTCAAAACAGGCTGCCTCTTTGGGAGAGAGTGGGGTGGGTGCACAAGTGTGGGAGGAAAGAATAAGACAATGCCCCTGGAAGATATTAGCTCCAGCCTTGTTTAGTTGGGAACAATGATCTTCACACATTAGATTTCCAAAGATGTGCCTGGAAAGGAGAGTGGGCTGGAGCTGAGCTTGGCTCACGTGGAAGAGGGAGCTGAGAATTTCAGACAGCTGTGGTTCTTGGAGCAACCCGACCCAAAGGAACCACACAGAAAAGTCCCCTCCAAGACAGCTGTCCTGGTTAGGATAAGGTTCAGCTGTTGTAACAAAGAGCCTCCACATAAGAATCGCAAGTATAAGTTGGCATCTCTCTCATGTTTGGGTCTGGAGGCAGACAGTCCAGGGCTGGCCTGGCAGGGCTGCTCCAGGAAGCTCCTCTCCCTTGATGCTCTATCATCCCAGGGACATTGCCCTCATCCAGGATGGACGCAGGCCAGGATGGACCTCCAGCCTCAGATCTCACGTTCCCACCAGCAGGACAGAGGGAGAAGCAGAGAAAAGAGCCTGCCTCTCCCTCCTAGGAAGTATCCTAGAAGTCATGCAAATTGCTTCCCATTCCATTCTGGAGGGAGAGCTTAGTCACATAACCAGCCTAGCTGCAGAGGAGGATGGGCACTTCTGTAGTACTGGGTGGCCATGTGCCCAGCTAAAATTTGGGGTTTCCAAATTACCCAATTTTTAAGTGAGCCAAAAAAGTCTTAAATTGACATTTCTCCAAAGATATGCAAGTGGCCAAGAAGCACATAAAAAGATGCTCAATATCATTAGTCATTAGGGAAATACAAATAAAACAACAATGAGATTTCATTTCACGCCCACTAGACTGGCTAGAATTTAAAACAAAACAAAACAATGGAAAATAACAAGTTTTGGCCATGATGTGGAGAAATTGGAACCCTCATACATTGCTAGTAGAAATGTAAAATGGTGCAGCTGCTATGGAAAACAGTTTGGAGATTTCTCAGCAAGTTAAACAGAATTACCATATGAGCAATTCCACTGCTAGGTATATACCCAAAAGAATTGAAGACAGGTGTTAAAACAAAAACTTGTGCATGAATGTTGATAGCATTATTCACAATAGCTACTATGTGGAAAGAATCCAAATGTCCACTGATTAATGAGTCAATAAAATGTGATATACCCATTACAATGGAATACTATTCAGCCATAAAGAGGAATGAAGTGCTAATATATACCACAATATGGATGAACTTTGTAAAGTAAAATAAACCAGCCACAAAAGACCACATATAATGTTATTCCATTATAACATGAAATGTCAAGAATAGGAAATCTGTAGAGACAGAAAGTAAATTAGTGTTTGCTTAAGACTAGGGGAGCCAGTGGGAAAGGGAGTTGTAGATAAAGGGTACAAAGTTTATTTTTGAGGTGATGAAAACATTCTAAAATTGTGGTGATGGTTACACATATATGTGAATATATTTATCTCTTGAACTGTACACTTTAAACAGTGAATTATATGCTATGTGAATTATATCTCAGTAAAGCTGTTTAAAGACAAAAGCCAAGAATAGCCTGAAAAACTCTGGAAAGTAAAAAGTAATGAGGGCAAACTAATTCTAACAGATTTTTAACTGTATTATAAAGTTACAATGAGCTATGAGGTAATAGGGCAGGAATACACAGAAAAGAAACAGACAAGAAAGTCAGAAACAGACCCAAATACATGTGGGAATTTGACATGTGATAAAAGTGGCATTTCAAATCAATGGGGGAAATGTGAATTACTCAGTAAATGTCATTAGGGACATCTGTCTTTTGGGGGAAAAAATAAAGCTGTATCCTTACCTTCACATACCAAAATTAATACCAGATAGAATAAAGGTTTAAATGCAAAGTGAAACTATACAACACTAGAAGAAATTTTAAATGTTGTTATAGTCTTGAACTTGAAGGCCTTTGTAAACATGAAACAAAGCACAGAAAGCATACAGAAAAGATTGGCTAATGTGACTATGTGAAAATTAAAATCTCTGTATGGCGATACATAGAGAGATAGAGATCTCAAAGTCAAAAAGACTAGCTGGGGGGCTTCCCTGGTGACGCAGTGGTTGAGAGTCCGCGGGCCGATGCAGGGGAGACGGGTTCGTGCCCTGGTCCGGGAAGATCCCACATGCCGCGGC